GTGATCGCGGCGAATTTCTTTAGGAGCGTGTAGCGCCGAAACGCCCGCTGAATCGTCAACGCGGCGTTGCGCGCCTTCACACCTCCGTACTTACGCTCCAGCATTTCGATCTGCTTATCGAGCAAATCCTGCGACAGCTCGTACCTGAAATTCACGAACCGTTAAAGTCGTCGCCTAACGCTGACACTATCGATCGACTGCCGACCGACCACCCTCCCGGTGCACAATTCCCCAAGTTACCTATTCGTCATGAGAGCCAATGCCGATTGCCATACATCGTACCATAGCGAGTACATCGCACCCTCTCCTGCACTTTATCCCTTCGTCCCTTCTTACGATATTTATCAGCGAGTTGATACAATTATTGATTTATCGCGCCCGTAATTAAATGTTACTTTTCGAAGTTGAAGGCGAAGGTGAACACGTATATATTCCTACTGTTAATTACTTTTGCCTTTAATTTTCATTTTCGATTCTGCATACGTGCCCGTAGCATACAAGCGTCGAAAGTTTAATTTTTACTTTTTAATACTTGGATCATTATCGGTGGCAATCTTCTTGTTTAAGGATTTTTAAGTCTTGGCGGCCAATAAAGTCAACAACATAATTGCACCGATACTAGGTATTTGCTTGAGTGAGTAGATAACGTAGATGCGCTTAATTTTTACGAAATTATATCTGTTGTGAAATTTTCTATTAATAGCATTGAAGAATTTCTATTAGTAGGGTATATACTCCAAGTGATATTGTTCGCTCACCGATTACGTTTGGCCGCGTGTAATAATTATATGTGAATTGATGTCCACTCGATCATACAGTTAATTTAATATTTTTAATACGTACAATAATTGTAAAAAAGCTCTTCATTCACCTACAAAAGTTATCGCTATTACGAATTATCCTTCCATATGAAAATCTAAGAATTTTAAAATAAATGTTATCAGCGAGTGCGACTTTATTAGATGTATTCTCTACGCTCGTCTACATTCCGTCCTAAAAACTATTAAATGAAAACACATTCAATAAGGAGTCATAAAATCGTCATAATTCATCACCTGTATAAATATTTTTCATATATATTAAGAAAGATGTATATTATAAAAAAAAAGAGCGAATTTCTCGTCTTATAATGATTTATCAGTTTATTACGCTTGGGTGTTCAATTATCACTGTAATTATGCATTTTGAGCATTGAACTAAATTTTATATCGCATGTCGTCCAATAAATCCTTCTGTTACAAATTACTCATTCGATCCACACTCGCGCTCAGTTTATAATTTCATGGAATTGACACGAGGCACTCGTTTTGCATCGATCCACGAATCTTTGAAGCCTTGGATAATATTCAGGCGCGCTAGGCGTACGCAAACCTAAGTGTAGGAGAGCGGTCGAGCGTTAACGTAACCAATTGCCAATGCGAGCGTAATTAAATTCTTATTGTGTCGAGCTGTCCTCTGACAAACCACCCGGCAGCCCACCTCCCGTCGACTTCCCATCGACGCCACGAACCTGGAAATCGACCGCGTTCACGGTGCACCGTACCCAAGCCACACCCTCGGGCCAGCAGCCGCGGAAGAAGGAAAAAATGACTCACGCGGCCTGCAGTCGGCACCGCTTCATCACGTCCCCGTTGCGCATGGAGGACTTCTTGTGGCAGCCCTGCTGGTAGGGCGACTGCATTGGCTGACCGCCGCCGTAGGCCTGGACATGGGGCCCGTAGCTCTGGGCCTGGCCGTAGTTGCCGTGCTGCTGATACTGTTGGGGATACGGGCCGTGCGCGTAGTTCTGGCTGTACATGTACTGGCCCGTCATGTAGGACGAGGACAGCGCAGGCTGTGCCACCGAGGACGAGTATCCGCAGACGCCCGTCTGGCCCTTCCCCAGCCGTTCCATCTTCTGTGGGAAGCTGCAAGCAAAGGGATTATAGTTAGTCGGTACGAACGTCACCAAATGGGATGGATAATGTTTATTTCATAGATAATGGCCATTAATCGGCGAGCGAGGTTTTCCTCTCGAGCGATTCGCTCTTATCAAGGCGCTTTTAATGGCTCGCCCTGTTTGAATTATCATATGTGCGCCAAGTGCCGGCTTGGCTCGCAGTCTCTATTTATCCGTGCAATCGCCAAAGTACATTGGCGAGTGCAGATTTGTCGATAAGCCTGTTCGAGCAGCTCCAGATAAATATAAATTAGTATTAATTTATTTATCAGGGATGGAAAATTAGCGAGGCGAGGGTAAGATGATAAATTGCTTTTAACGAGACTGCATTTGGTCTCAGGATGAGGCGTTCGTCGCCCATACGCGCATTCGACATCGGCACGGAACTCGGATTTTCATAAATCTCTTAAACATTCTTTTTTTTTTTCTTTTTTCCTTTTACATTTTACTTGTTTTCCTACTTAGCTTTGTGTTTATTATCGTTCCTTTTCCAATTGCGAGAAACAACCTAATAAATAAATAAATAAATAAATAAATAAATAAATAAATAAATACATAGATAGAGTTATAACGAAATATCAAGGTGATTTAATTAAGTAAATAATTAATGAATAAATGAAGAAAGGAATGAAAAAGTAAAAGGAAACGGGAAGAAGAAAAAAAAATGGATTTATGAAGAATGAAGGTATTATGTATATTTTATGTTAAAAGAATGCTTCGCGCGACTTATTAACGTTTCAAAAGAGAATCTAAAATATTCAATGGATCAAATACCTTTAATATTAAAAGTCCTTTCAATTTCACGAGAGATGAGTGTAAAACCTTTATCATTCTTTCATTATTTCATTCGCCTTTTAATGGTAAAAATCACATTCTTTTCGTCAACAAAGAATAATTAATTTTTACTGCAAATTCCAAACCCTTACGTTTAATTGTATAATCGATCCGGTATCTCGGGGCTAATAAACATTCATGCATTTTGAAATGTTGAAGTGCGACACGACAATGACAGACATTTTCCGTTTAAAATTACGAAAATTAACATGAAGACAATGGGATTACAGAGCCTCGCCGAAGAGACGATTTTTTTCCCAACTGTAGAGAGTGATTTATTAGGTTGTATATATGTATGAATGGGCCTTTATTATAGGCAGGTGCTTTTATTTAAGCCGTTGTTTTATGCATTCACTATTCCGCTCCTTCTACGCACGCAAATTCCCTTCCCCTTTCCATTTAGTCTCTTTTCCTCTCGCTCCCTGTGGGCGTGCGAGTACGTACGTGGGTTTTGTTTTAGCTCACAATGGAGTTACACTTGTTATGCGACTATTAACGCGGCGACGATGATGAAATTACGTCAGCTTGATTCGAGCGCGCAACGATCAAAAAGTGAAAGCTTATACGTTCGAGTGATCCACGCGCAGACCACTCGCACGATCGAAAAGCTTTTCACACTTCCAACCATCGGCAAACAATTTCTATCCGTTCCGCTCAATAACAAGTCCACTGATAAGGAGCTGCCCTCTTCCCTTCGATCCGATCGTCAGAATCAGCCGCGGAACTAACTGTACACGCGCGACTGTAAATAATGTTTTGGTTAGGGGGTGGGGTCATCGATAATCGAAGGCTTAATTTAAAAGTGCGGTTGGTTAGTAGTTGGATGGCGCGAATGTAACGAGGCTGAAGGCCCCTGGCCGAGGAATAAAACAGCCCAAGATATTTAAAGTATTCGGTGCCATTAGCGCATCTCTTCACTTGTAAAAGTCCTGTCTGTCGTTCGTCGCACGTTCGTCGTGTCCACCTCGGGGACGCCGTCTCTCGAAATCAATACCACCACCCACCGCCACCCCACCCCCCCCCCCCGCCAACAGGATAATTAGAGCGTCGGTCAGTAAACGTGATGTTGGATTTCGACGCTCTAAGCCCCCCTCCTGCTCACGATCCAATGTGCCCAAGAGTGGCAAAGTCCCTTGGTGGTTGAGAATCAAATCGGGGCTTCTCGCGTCAACGAAAGGATAATTGGTCAGGAAGAGGGAGGAGAGAGGAGCACGAGCTCGACCAATATCCGCCGATAGCCGAGCGCAATTTCCGGCGACGATGTGCCAATGGCCCCGGCACACCCGGGTGATACGGACAGGCCAAGCAGATGCCAAACGAGCTGCCTCCCTCCTCACCACCATTTTCGGCTTCGCTCGTTTTTACAAGGCGAGCGCGCAATCGCCGCCATCGGCCCCTCTTCCTCGTCCTCGCTCTCGCCGCGCAACAGCCGCACCTATCTTGGCCAATCAGGTGAGAAAACAAGCTACGAGGAAAATCACTATCCACAGTCTCGGGTGCGAGTCTTAATTGCTTGCCGCGTTCGAGTAGTGCGAGCACCTGACTCGAATTCGTCCCATTCCGGAGGCTGGCCACCCTCTCTCCCCCAGCTCCAGACCACGGGATCATTAGGAATGTGGGCCCGCGAGCAACTGGAAGCGATGAAAGAGAGACTTTGTGCGTGTGTGAGCGCGCGTGCGGGAGGGGCGCGCGGGTGTGTGAGGAGGACGTAGGTCGGCAGCTGGCGCGAGGGCCGCACGCGCCAGGTGCGTCCGTCAGGACGCGTGCCATAATGCCCTACCGAGCCACACACCCCCCTCCCCCCTCCCCCCTCCCCCTGCCACCACCACCACTGCAACCACCATAATCGCTACCGCCTCTGCCTCCGCCTCCTCCTCCGTCATCACATCCCGTGTGTCTTTTTGGGGCGAGTCATCGCGCGCCAGGGGAGCGACGGATCGACGCTGGCCGAAGAATGCGCGATATCGTATGCGCGCGACGTTCTTGGAAAAAAAAAATAAAATAAAATAAAATAATGCACATTGTTATCGGGTAGAATAAAAGGGGTCCTTTTCGATGGTTTTACGGAGTTTGAGCTGCCGCTTAGGGATGAGGTGAGCGGCGAGGGAGCGTGGGTAGGTGGGCCGGGGAATTGAAAAAAAGTGGAGGAGGATAGAAAATCGAGACGATAATATTGTAAGTCGGGGAGAGAAATTTCATGGAGAAGATTATCATAGTTGGTAGAGGCGCGGGCACGTACGTACCTACCTACCTTTTACGAGTTCGTACGGTACTGAAATTATAGCGTCGAGCTCCGTAAAATTTAAGGCATGACAAGGAGGATTTTTCACATGCATGGACGTGCCTGTCCGTAAAGTCGTAATGTCGTAATTTTCCTGCGACGCGCTCTTTCAGTCCCGAAGAATTTATTGGAAAATAATTAAAACTCGCCTAAATTTCAAAATTGATGCACACCTGTGTCTTGTGAGTGACGAAAGGAATTTTTTACAGCGACATTTGTTCATAATACATTGCATTGACAATCACATTAAGAAATAGTGGGGAGTAATCGAACGATATGGTACATCAATATTTACAGGAATAAAACGGGAAAATGAAACTGCTGAAAAGAATATAATTAATAAGCTGTATAACTAGCGCTTATACGAACAAACACAAATGTTTAAAAAAATACTCGAATATATATTTCTGTAATATAAATTGCATTTATGGATGCTTAATACATTTTAACACTTACGAATGATCTAATAATATTTATCACGCGATACAATGTACGATTACATAAATAATAAATAGTCAGTAAATTTGAATATTGTTATTACTGTAATTCGGATTTATAACTCTAGGAGAATATAAAATGTAAAATTTTTGCTAATACTCCTTGAATATTGAAACAAATTCCGGATATTGAAAAGACATGGTTTTATATAAATTGTATCACTTTCGTGCAATTTTATGTTAAAATATTCATCATTAATGCAAAATGTGCAATAAATCAGTTGCTTATATATATATATATATATATATATATAACGTAGGGTTATTATGAAATTGGTTTGTAACGAAAAGAAAAATGTATACATTAAAAAGTAAAAAAATAAAATTACTTGGGTGGATTATTTCTTAAGTTTGTAATGAAAGAAAAATGTCAAATCAAATATATGCATAAATGAAATGAATGAAAAACAAGTATTAAGTGCAATTATTTATTATTTATATAATTAATTATTTAAGATTGTATCAACTTACTGCAGGAACGTATAATATCTACTGTATCTATCAATATATCTATAACAACATCGGTGTGCGTGGGTGAGTGGGTGGGTGAATGGGTGCGTGCGTGCTTGTCGTATATTTTAGCACAGAGAGAGAGAGAGAGAGAGAGAGAGAGAGAGAGAGAGAGAGATTGGACGGACACGGACAATATTAATTACACCGATCAATTACTATTTCTCTTATCGTCGCGCTTTCGCGTCTGCCTATTCCGGGTCTATTTAACAGAATAATACTTTGTATAAACTCATATGAAAATATGAATCGGAGAAAAGAGAGAGAGAGAGAGAGAGAGAGAGAGAGAGAGAGAGAGAAAAAAGTGGCGATAATTTGCTAAAAGACTGGTGAAAATAAGATTTAGCAGTTAGTATGAATATCGCTTGAACGATGAGAGAAAAAGTCAATGATCAGAGGCAAAGTTATTCGAGACAATGAATGGTAGTCCGGAAGCTCTACCCCCGCAACGTGTCAGCTCGCGAAACATTTGCCGAGACGATATCGCGGACACACGCGAGTCGTGGACGCACAAGGCCGTGACCACCACGCACGTTCATGCTTCACGTACCCCACTAAAAATCCAGATACAAAGATAATCATGTTGAGGGCTGGCGTCGGTGCTTCAACCGCTTCTTCTTATGCCTCTTCTCTTATGCTTTAGCTTATGCTGTTGCCGGTATTATGTAAATCGACGGAATATTATGTCCTGGGCGTTCTCGTTTATTGCGCTCCCATAGTAGCCGTGTCTTTGAGGGAAGATCGGCCAGGAGAGTTCGGCAAGGACTGGGGGGGCCGTTGGCCTTGGAGCTCGGTCGGAGAAACAACGTCGACGGATAACGCGCGTTACGTGAGAGCTCGTTGTTG